GATGCATGTCTACCTTTTCTTAAAGCATGAATCTTAGGTTATATACAATCTATGGCAAGTTGATATATCCATTAAGAAAGAAGTGATCTTTTTCTCTTTTGGTCTTTTCTTTCGCCTTCCTACTAATGCAAGTTGTTGGTGTTGCAGTCGATTTTCTCCATGGATTCATTCGTCAAGACTCGGGCACTCCCAGAGGATGTCATTGCTGGATGGCGTCCAAAAGTCATCGGTTAAACCATTTAACAACCATCATATATTTCTGCTTGCTTTTAGCATGGCACCACATGAAATGCTAATCAAATTTTGGCTTCAGTTTTTAACATGATTACTATAATCAGTCTGTTGCTAATTCGTAGAAAGGCTTATGTATCTTCAGATTTACCAAGCTTTGGGTTTCTTTTATATTTATAAGTGAGGTAAAAGCCTATATCTGGTTTCATAGGCTAATCTGTAAGAGGTCCAGTAAGAAAAGGGTGATCACATGCTCCACTTGAGAAATCCTTATTGAAGTTCCAATTTGCATATTGAATACGTTTATCAATATCAATGATCTTTAGATGACACTTCCAAGAGTATTTAAAGAGAACAATACTTGACTGGGGCCTTTAACCCATATAAACATTTTTCTTCCTTGCACCTCATGCCCTTTCTTGAGCTCATCTTTTTTTTTATGGAGATAATTTTAGATCATATAAAACTAAACTAATATTAAAGGGTAATATGATGATATCGTGGCCGACATATGTCACTTAATATATTCTTTAAGTTTTTTTTTTTCCTCTCATGTTTATTGTCATCATCGTCTTGTCTTCTCCTTTCGACTTCTCTCTCACATCCTTCTCTCGTCGTGCTTCCGTTACTACGATATCGATGTCTTTTCTAATACCAACCCACAACCACCCACCCCTTTAATACTCTTTTTTGCTACCAAAATATATCATAGTTGGCGAGCTTACCATCTGATCCTTAACATATCATGAAGTTAAGACCGCAAAATAGCTCCTTGGGCACCGTTAACCCTGCTTTATTTTTGTATTCGATTCACGAAATGGAGATTCACTCAATCTAAAATCAATTTATACACTAGATGAAATCCATTTCATAGTGTTAGTGCTCCTTATAGTTGCCCTATCAGCGGTGTTAAAGGCTGGGGGTACAACTTGATCCAGTAATATGTGTCTAAGCATAGCTGAAGTGTTATTTAATATAATAAAAATATTTTTTTAATAAAAAAAATCTCGATCGAGCCAGTGCAAGTCGTCTCCTCGGGCTAGAGTGTCCGACTTGCAAGAAGTTGTACAGGGTGTTCTTTGATACGAACCTTTCTACGCTTTCAAAGAGTCGAATAACAAATATTGCAAGAGAATTCGTTTGCTCTTGGTATTTTTGAAGGTATTATTTTTCACATGCGAGTATAATTGGCGATGCGGCAATTGGTCATGTTTCGTGCGATGTCGTGGTGGCCACCCACGTGTTGCAAATTAGCCCCAACATGAAAGCTGATGTGGTGTATGTTTGAGTGACTTGTGTCAATCCATGTCCACGTGGATAGTAAAGTGTCGGATACATACAGCACATAGAAACAAGGATAACACATAATTTGTTCTCCTATTATTCCTGTATACTCCTTCACATCTTTCACACCTTCGACACGCATACATAGCCCACCGCGAAAGCATCGTGCACGATATGTTCTAGACATCGTACGATTAGCGTGCGCAATATTTAAAGCACCTCGTAATCGTATGAGTACGACTTAACACGTTAGAAAGAATGAAGAACTCACATAAACTCACATTTTATATAATGGTTACAATTCATCGATTGCCCGAGAAGACGCTATAACAATCCGCTCCGATAAGGCAAGGGGTGTTTGTGTTAGATTACGTGGCTCTATATAATAAGATAAAATATATATAATAGAACTAATTAAATTTTATAATATATATTAGTTAATAAAAAAAAGTTTATATCATAGTAGGATTCTTTAGGGGATGTTTTTGATAGGAAGAACTCTCCCAATAATTTATCCTAGACCCCTTGCATTACATATAGCATATAACAGTTTTATACTAATAATTGGTATCAGAGCTTAAGTTTTTGAAATCAAATATCTTAGATATATTGTTTTCTGATTTACATTATTCGAATGATCCATATTTTATCGATCTAAATTTCTATCTATTTTGTCTTGTCGTCTACTTGCAAGCAATGATCTATTTTTCTATTTGATTTGTCCTATCATTTGATTACGATCGATGGGTTTCCTAGTAAATAAATTATATAACTTATTTTAAGTTATAGAATGATAAGAAACCTAACTTAAGATATTTATATATTTAGAATTATCCTATAGAGAAAAGGATCTTCATCTGACATAAAAGAAAATTAGATTTACTAACTATTTTTAAATATTTTATTATTTATTCAGAAAGGTTCAAAGGGGTATATATCTTATTGTCCTAATTATGGTATGAGATATAGATTGATACTCCTTTATTATTCAAGAGATTGTTATTACTCAAATTATTAAATAATTTGATAAAAGTTAATAATAAATTAATATTACTAAACTCCCATATTATATTGATATCGCTATTAATGATTTGTAGAATAACAATAATTGATAGTCTTAGGAATATCTTAAAAAGAAAAAGAAATCCTATCATTTATGGTTATTATATGCTATTTCTACAGGAATTATACTATGATATAGGAATCAGAATGATTCCTCATTGTTTTCACATGTCATAAAAAATAATGACTTTGAAAAGTAATATGATGTAATAAAAAAGAGTTAAAATCAATAACCAGAATAGTGTACGATGAATTCGTTGAATTGTTCAATAATTATAAAAGAATCTATTATATAAATATGATTTAAAGGATAATATCGAACGATATAATAATCAAAATTATGATTAAAAATTTTACTCATAAAGAATATATCAGTCAAAATATTTAGTTTTTAAATGAACTCATTAAAAATCATCATCACATTAATGACTCGTTATGAGTTTGAGTTACGATATAAAAATAATTTTTGATTAAGGATTTATGGGTTGCTCTAAACAATTTACAGAGAATATAAAGATAATGATCTTAAACAAGCTTCAAGATAATGATATATAAACGTTCTTGACATCATTACTTTTTTTCTTCATATTTAAAAAAAATACTATTGATCGATATTTATATCAATAGGAGTAAGTTTATTATATTAGTCTTATATATGGATAATATTTTATTTACCAATAGTGATATTGGTTTATTATACTAAATTAAAAAATTTGTCACAAAGAATTTTAAGATGATTGATATGAATGAGACATCTTATTATTATTGAATTATTTAAGGATAGATCTCAATGATTATTAAGACTATCTCACTTAAAAAAAAAAAGGCTATCTCAGAAAAGAATATATTAACCAAGTCTTAAAAAGATTTAATATACAGATTTGTTCAATAAATATAAAATTTTAGTCAAAAGTAAATGTTTTAAAATAATTTAAAAAGAATCAAAGAAAGAAAATATTCTTTATATATACACAGTTAGAAGTCTATGCTCAAGCTTATCGGAATAGATATCAGTTTTGTAGTTAAAATATTAGGTATATATTGGAGTTACCTAAAAGTAAAAATACTAAAGAACCGCAAAGAAAGTAATAAGATATCTAGAAATGACAAAGGATTAAATACTCACATATATGAAATTATATCAACTTGAAATGATGGTATTTTTCAAATATTGATTTTATAAATTACCGCCATAATAAGAAGTTCACCTTGTGAATAATATCTATATCAATTAGAGAGGTAATTTATTATTATATTATTAATAATAAAAGTTGATTTGTTAGCATGAGCCATTGATTAAACTTTATGACTGCAAAATTTTATCTCAGGCCTCAATGTGGTCAGACTCAATTACTAAATCACTAAAGATATTTTGTGACATCGTAGTTGTTTTCTTCTCTAAGATAAGTATTATTGCATCTCTATGCATTATTATATAAAGTACTTAGATGGTTAGAGAAGAGGAGTCCAGAAATATCCAATATCAATTAATTACTTGAGTTATATTGTATTGGTTGTTGATTAATTCACTTACGACTTATAGCCTAAAGTGTTTTGAAAGAACATGTTCTTATGATTGAGTTTATGAGCAACTCATAAAGGATATGATGATGTATGTTTTAGTGGACACTATAATTGATATTCGTACTTAAAATTATTTGTTTCTAGTATCTTATTCATAATTATGTATATATATATATATATATATATATATATATATATATATATAATGGTTGAATGTGAAGATATGATTATAGACAAATTATAAAAATCATTTTGGACTGTATTAGGAAAGAGTAATAGTGTTGTGATATATAGAATGAAGTATGATACTGATGATATACAACCGTTATGACTCATATTATTAGTCAGACTTAATGTACTATTATTGTATTTATTGGACTTATTAGCCTATTTTTAAAATTTACGCGTGTAGATAGTTTTTTAAAATTTTAAACTCTCAATGGGTAAAATTATTTTCAAATAAATTTTGTTTATTTATTTTTGATTTTAAGTCTTCATGTATCGTATCAATTAATGGGCCAAATGGGAGAATGTTAGATTATGCAACTCTATATAATTGGATAAGATATATAATAGAATTAATTGGATTACAAATATTTGATGAATAGAAAAGAAATTCATATTATAGTAGAATTCCTTAGGAGATTCTCTTGGTGGGAGGAACTCTCCTAATAACTTATCCTAGATCCTCTGTTCTCGCTTATAAATAGACAGAACCTCTAAGGGAAGCAATATATAGTTAAGAATCCATCAATCTAAGTGGTCCTGTGAAAGAATAGAAAGCGACAAGAAGGAGAGTCTAGTTCTCCTTACAGATTGACAACAAATTTTGAATCTAAAGACTAGATCTTTACATATTACACAAAGATCCTTTTCGGATAGCATCAAAAATACATATCATAAAAACCAATCTAATATTATTTAATTTTAATCCTAGCATAAATTTTTTTTTGCATTACATATAACAGTTTTTTGATCGTAGATTCTCCATGGCTCATTGAACAGAGGATGATATATATGATCAACTACATTTAAGTTCAAATAAATTGTGGAGCAGTCAGGATTCATTACTCTCCTGTTACTGATAGAAAGGAAAGCAGACCAAATATTAAGAAAAGTACGCCGCTGGAGAGTGCAACCTATGAAATCGGATTAAAGTATTGCATCAACTCCAACGATAGTGTTGTGTTTTGTAACTTTCAGGAATAATGGAAAAGAGAGGACAGCTGCTTACCATTTTTTCTGATATCTGGGACGCCAAGCTCTTTCCTCCGAGGACTGCTGCTGTGGTGCAGAATGCTTGTCCGCTGCATCAAAATAAACGAAGCAAATCCACACTGAGCCGTTAGGCTGAATGAATGAAATGAACCCACATATAATGAGAATTGAGGAATGGATGCCATACACGATGCCCCCGAGAACCACACCAAATGGGTTTTCATCAGAGGCCAACCCGATTGTAGCTATCTGAGAAATACAAATGGCTGAATTGAGTAACCATACCCAGTCAATGCGAGGAAAAGATTAATCACATTTAACCACGAGTTACCTGGCTCTTGTCACCCCACTCGCCGAAGAAAGTGATGGAGAATGCCTGGGTTATCAAAGTGGCAGGACGGTTCGCATGACAAAACAATACATTTTTTTTATTAATTTAGTCTTTTAACTAAAACAATTACCTTTAGGAAGACGGGCGAGAAGAACTGAGTTAGAAATGGCCTCTGTTGTTTCTTTAAGTCTTCCCTCACCTGATTATGGCAAAAGCATTTACATTATAATCTCTTCCAGGCAACAGCTTAAAACACTGGAATCTAGTAATAGGGGAAATTGACTGTTGTGTTTATCTGATTTTGTCAATTTCGTAAAATGGAGATGCCTTGGCACTTAGGAATCAAGTAGTCTCGGTAATTTCTCAATGTGTTATGTTCAGAGTTCTTAATTGAGATTAACTTGGAATTCTTGTAAAATCATATTTGATAAATATGAAACAATTACACTAAAACTAACTAATATATTCACACTGTACAAGGACATCTGTCAGCATCAAAATTGCAGAAGAACCTTAGACACCCATTGTATCAAGAAGCCATTAGTTGTACATGGTGGTCACAGATTCATGTTAAGTAATTCGAGATCAGAAAAAATAAAATTCTCCTTAAGGGTTCAGTAAACTCTATGTACTGATGAAATATTGTTAGAATAATTTTTTTTAACTTTTGCAGACAATATTAAATGTATGGAAAAATAACTAGGACTAGAAACGTCTTGAAATAACCGTATGTTTGGCCATAAACAAACTGAAATTGTGCCTTCTAAAATATTTGATTGAACGCTGCAATTGCTATTTGAGAAGAACATGGCCAGCAAAGTAGCACAGGCATAGTTCAACAATAGCAAGTGAATTGACTTGATTAAAAATTATGTAAATGATAAGATGACAAAGAAGGAAAGAAGAAAGCCAACAGATCTTGGCCAAATCAAAAGGTTTAAAATCTTGGGCACCAGATCTGTACCTATCACTAGCCGGACTAGTACAGGTCCAGTTCATATTGGCATATTGACAAATGGTATATTAGTATATGATGCAGTAACTCCCTGGTCATAGCATACGTAATAATATTTTTATTGTATAAGAAACTACTTACACCATGTATTCTTCCAAAGGTAAAAACCCTCTTGTCATAGTTAAACTAGATCTTGAAAAAGGGTTTGATAGATTATCTTGGACTGCAATTTTAAAAACTTTATCCTCCATGAATTTTCCTCTAAATTTTTAGATTAGATTCAAGCTTGCATTTCTTTACTGAGCTTTATTTGTCTTATTAATGGTGAAATCTCTTCATCTTTTTCTGGCCACTGTGGGGTTCGACAAGGTGACCCCTTGTCACCGTATCTATATATTCTTGCTCAAATTTTTACAAATATGATAAATCAAGCAACAAGAACAATACAACTTACCCCCTTTCTCTTGGGCCTAAATACAAAATTAGTCATCTTATGTTTGCAGATGACTTATTACTATGCTTTAGGGCTAATGCAAAATCTTGTTTAACAATTACGAAAATCTTTAGAGATTACGAACGCATTACCAATCAACGTATTAATTTCTCTGAATCAGAAATTTTCTTTTCTAAGTCAGCTTCTAGATCTTCCATAAATCATCAGGTTTGCTCAACATTGGGTTTCAAACATGGTTTTTTCCCTTTTAAATATTTAGGTGGCAAAATTATCCCTTGAAGGGTCACCTCATCAACTTACAAAGAAATCCTTAGTTAGATTAGGGCAAAACTTGGTAATTGGTATTGTTACCACCTTTCTCAAGCTGAAAGAATTATATTAATTAAATCAGTCCTAAACTCAATTCCCATTCACACTTTAAGTGTTACCTAGATGCATGATACTTTGTTTTAAAAAATAAAACCTTGATAAAAAAAATTTCCTTTGGAAAAACTCATCTCAATCTAAGGGTCTACATCTCATAAATAGGAATACAGTAACCTCCAGCAAAGAGGAAGGTGGCCTTAGCCTTCATGATATTAATTATTTCAAATATACTTTATATCACAGTTTTTAATTTTGGGCGATACATACTGGCCGATAGCATAACGGTATGCGGACCGCTCGCAACTAGGCGGAACGCTCAAAATCGCACAATATCAGATGATACAAGAGTATATCGGATGGTAAGAGTCAAAATTTTGACCGTTACCGCCTGACACAGCTTGATAACGGTCGATTTCAATCGTTACTACTTGGCACAACTCAGTAATGATCGATTTCTACTGTTACCGATTTGTAACAGTGCTCCAACGGTCATTTCTCATGGGTTTTAAACTCATTTCTCGCCTATTTCATTCCATTTGACTCTCACACTCTCTTAAACTACCTTAAACCCATTCTTTCTTACATTTATACCTCCTAAACTCTACAAAGCAATGATTTATGAATTGATAATTCAAATAATTTTCTGTAGATATTTTAATATTTACAGAAGAGCAATCCATAACGGATCGAAATACGAACCTTATAGAAGGCTATTCCTCAAAATCTGAAAAAGATATGTGATACTATTCTTACCTAATTTATATTGGTTTTGCTAAACTTATACTATTACTATATTTATTTCTAACTTAAAAACCCTATCCTAACTTTTTTTTAAAAATATTTTTGGAGAATTTTACACCTAAATTAGGTGTATCATACCGAGCGAAGCTCAAAACTCCGGTATGATACAAAATTTCAATCCTTACTTTACATGCCTCCTATATTCATCGCAATCTAAACCAAGATAATACCCTTTAGAGTAATACCCTACATTCTAAATATGGAACTTTTCATCCTTGGAGCATTCCCAAATTTAAAAATATAAGTTGCAGTTGGAAACTCTTCGTTCAAACAATGTCTGAATCAAAAAAGGGTTTCTCTAAACACAGAGGGAATGGTTATAACACTAAATTGCATAAGGATCCATGGATCCCTCTCAACTGGCTACCTATTTATATTAATGTTAATCTATTGCCTGCAGATTGTAAGGTTGATGTGCTGATCCAATCTAGTAGCTAGAATACCCAGTTGCTATTGGACATGTGCATGCCTGACTTGGTTTTTGCTATTGAAGCCTTCGATTTTGCTCAGGTCCATTGTGATGATAAATGGATCTGGAAGGCCCATCCTTTTGGAAAACCTGCTTCAAAAGGTTCATATCATTTATTGCATCCATCCAAACTTGAGCGTTGCTAGTACTCCACAAAGGTTCAAATCTTCTGCTGGAAACTACTCCACAAACGTTTACCAACGGCAGACAGACTTATACATTTTAACCTTACTATTCAATCCAATATCCCCTTTGTCTTACCACCAGTGAATCTATTGATCATCAATTCTACCACTGTTCCTTCACTTCCCAACTTTGGGATCTATGGCAACAAAATTTTGATATCAGTTTTACCCAAACAATTTTCAGATTTGGGAGATTGGTTAAAAGATGGTGAACTTTTGGGATTGGGAAAACTGCTACGAACAGCTATAGTAAACCAGTTTTGGTTTATTTGGAAGATACAAAAAGGCCCTCTTTAATAAAAAAGTGCCTTTTATAAAATGGGCCTCGTCAGAAGCTGTATCTCATACTAGCTATTATGCTAGATCTATATTGTCTAAAGGGACTAAAATGAGCAATACTATTATACTTCATTGGTAAAAACCACCTGTAGGCTGGTTCAAACTGAATACTGATGGAGCCTCTCTTTTGCAGGATGGAGGCATTGGATACATTATTAGAGATCATGAAGGAAATTGCTGTGCTGCTGGACAAAATTTCATAGACAACAAATCTGACCTTCAATGTCAAGCTTTAGCAATCAAATTGGGATTACAAACTGCAATCACAAAAAAATCACTCATTTGCAATTGGAAACAGACTCTTAAGGTTCTTCAAGACCTGCTGATCACCAGCAAGGATACACCATGGTCCATTTCAAACACTACAGCTGATATCAAGATTCTTCTGCAGGAATTTATCACTTTGAATGTGATGCATTGTTATAAGGAATGTAATCAAGCAGCCAATTGGCCTGTTAGAAATGCTAGGATTCAAATCTCTCCTTGTTGTGGGAGGCTTCTTTTCCTACAGAACTTTGCTCCCTTTTGTATAACAATTTGCCCGGATCCTTTACCAGATCTATGTTAACTTAATATATTTATTTTTGTTGAAAAAAAATATATGCTGCAGTATCAAGAAGGGAGGAGGTGGATAAGGAGAAGAAGAGTAAAGGAGGATGAGAAGAATTAGAGAAGAGGAGAAGAGCCCCAGTAGCACTGGATGACGAGTGGACCAGCAAAGGCAAGCAGAAAGTGAGTGGGTGGCGATGACATGCCCTATACCCAAGGCTCAGGTGTCATGGTTGATCAATTGATCAATCAATATAGAGAGAGAGCGCTCAGGGGTTGCAATTAAGAGAGAGACAACGAGAGAGAAGGCAGGTTTGGTATATTTTATAAGTTTTAATTAAAAACTTTGAACCAGATCCAGAAAATGGCTAGTTCACGGCCTGGTTCTTCGTCGAACTGGTATCTATCTCCTTACTAATTCAGGCTGTCTTCTAACCATGGCTAATGTTAAAAATGATAAAACATAAATGAAAAAGAAGCATGTGCCCATCTATGCTATATTTTTAATTACTTTTCTATCAAGTTTCACATATATCCACAGGAAGAATATGAAAACATAGTCTAGCAAATTAAATGTCTGGTGAACACATAAGATGTGTACACTGTATGCACAAGCCTAAATACCTTAATCCTAGTCATTTTCATTAAATACAAAGAAATTAATATGGTATGACAGCTACACATGAAGGCACCAGCAACACATGTTTATCAATTCTGGAGCATTAGTTCTTTGATTTTGAGCCATGAACTTTTAGATGTATATTTTCAGTAAGCTGAACAGATAAATGAAGAACTGTCTTGAAAGTTAGATGTCATTTTAAGACTCAAGAAATCAACATATAGACAAATATGCAGACGTCAAATTAGATGTCAAATTACCTTAGAATCTCCCTTGTTGCTTCCAGTTTCAGCCTTCCAATCAGCGTTCTAAATGGATGAAGAAACTTAGAAAAAGATTCATCTGTGATAATAGAAAAAAGAGCAAATACTTCATCTTATTTCAACTGACCAATTTAGCTTCTACTTCTTTCAATTCTTCAGCCTCCCTAAAGGAAAACAGCAATGGTTTTCGTACTATTCAGAAACCTGATATGAATTATAAAGCAAGAAAGATAACCATTTGAGGATAAGGTAGAAAGATAACCATACCCTTCTTCTGTAAATCCTTCCCACAATGACCAAAGCCCAAATCCAAAGAATAACACAGTTGTTAAATGGTGCGACCATCTACGAGAAATCTGTTCAAGTGCAACCCCATTCTTAGCATGTATGAGAAAAAGATAAGAGATAGCAGCATGATCTGGTGACTTTCTATTATAAAATAATGAACAACTCTGCAAATATGAAAATATGGAAAATATTTAATAAAATTGACAAAAGCAGAACTTCCTAATTCCTATTCAGCAAGTCTTGAAAACCAGCACAGATGGCCTAATTGATCCTTGAGGTAATGCATACAATGACACAAAATATGAAGCAACATATGTTACAATTTCATTTTATCATTCATTTCTGAGAAAACCAGATTATTGCTACCAAAAATGTATCAACTTGGACAGAGTCAAAGACTATGTTAAGAATGAGCTTCTTCTAGTTATTTCAGGAATATCAAGTTCTATAATTACTTTAATATATGGCAAGCACCTTAGTCAAATATATGAATCTCTACAGAAGATAAAAACTGATAATTATCTGTCATGAATTTTATGACAGCAGTTACCCACACAAAACCAGAGTGCACTATGATTCAAACCAAGCTTCAGCATTAACTCTTTAGAATTATTACATAGCACCTAGTATTACCAAAAAAAATTGATTTTCAGAAAACCAATAGATCATGCTAAAATCCCTGTTCCCCTCAGAAGTCTCAATTTCTTGTAACTTAGGTACTACTGTCAAACATCAACAGCTAGAATTGAATGATTGGCTACAATGCAGTAGTCAGTAGCAAATCATCTTCATGGTTTTTATATAATAATTAATCATTAGATGCATGGCATTGAATGTTATTTTGGCACTATGTACATCTATGAAATAATAAATCACTGTGAGTACTCATTGATTCAAAGGAGCAGTATAGTGATTTAACTAAAATTGAGAAAAGGAGATCGAAATGAACTCAGATTCATCAGACAGTAGTATCTGTTAAACATGAAATGTAACAATATAGAAATGTTGATTCCTCTCAAGGAAGTTATTTTTATCAAATCCAAGATAAATCTGAACCTTGCCATCTTTTTCTTGTGTCTATTTTTCTTGCTTGGAGCTTGTTTAAGACTTATTTCATGCTTAGATTACACCCTACTCCATATCATTGTAGTTAAAGTTTCTAAACTGAAAAATGCTATAGATTGGCTACTCTGTATCATTGTAGTCCAACAAAGTAGCATGCTCATCACTTGAAACACCATTATTATAAGCAATACATCTACTATGACTGCATCAATCACGATGGAAGAATAACAAGGAAAAAGTAGTAGATGACCTATGGATCTCATGATGTGACCAGATGCACTAAGGTCTCTTGAGCAAACAGATAAATGAACTTGATAGGCAGGCATTTAAGCAACCATTTTATGGATTCCTTGAACCCATCATGTTAGTCAGGACTTCCAATATGAGGATAATAAGTGATAATTAAGTTGGTGGTACTTTTGAGATAATTAAGAGTGCCAATATGAGGTGATCAGCACCATGTTAGCCCTTAATAGAGTGCATTAGGGGCTTTTCTAGATTATTTGGCTGGAGATCAACATCAGATATCAATGATATAACATTTGACCTCATGACATCCCCCATTAGAATGTCAAATAGACCATGACAAATGATTTCTATAAACAAAAGAAGAAAAGGGATTTTGGTAAGACAAGTGCGACGTGGTTAAATTTTGACCGCATCACTCCCAATATGGCTTGGGACAGTTCATGGTTTCCACTCAAAAGTGTGGTTTTAGATTGTAATTTTCTATTTAATATGAGAATACATGAAGGTATCCTGATGAGGAGATCGAAAAAATCTTCACATGGATAAAGTCCTTTAAGGAATGGGACCTTTATATTGTGATCCTTGTATGTGATAACTGATTAGTACCCATCAGGATGAGCATTATCAATTTCTTGGTACATTGCAACATGAGATTCATCAAAATATATAAGGTTTTAGGATGGTTAAAACTGAATAAGAAAGAATTTCAGACTATTGTGAGATTTTCAATATTTTTAGGGTCAATGGTTTACGGTTATGACATACAAGGGATTTGGACTGCATTTCTGGGCTTGTAAACCTGAAAAAAAAATAAAACAGAAAAATAAAGATTACTTGGAATCATACTGATGCATCAGAGTCACACCTATGATTAGAAGGATCACAACAGTGTCTCGTGCATAACAAACACATCACACACAAAAAAAAAAGAGATGAGAAATATCTTACATTAAATTGCCGTAAAATCAAATACATCCAATTGCTGTAAAATCAAATACATCCAACTCACTAGAGAACTAGTAGCAATTTCCACAAAACTAGCAAAACCCAAGGATCTATCTCACTGGTGAGTTGCTACAGTACATGTAATGAATGTCTCAACATAACTATCACACAATGAATGGAATACAAATAAAAAAGCAGAAGTTTAAAATTGCAGAAGTAACGATTCTTATATCTTGAACAGCTTACCAGATTTGGGGCAGCCCAACCAAGAGATGCAGAGAGAATAGTCATGACCTATAGTGTCGCCCAGAATGTATGTAAAGGCATACATAGTTACAGCTTGATAAAGGTAAAGATTAAGGCAAGGAACTCACAATTAAGGCTGTTAAACAACCTGATAAAACAAGCTTCCGAGGATGACGCATTGCCAAGATCTTAAATAGAAAATATACAGTGTTAATTAAATCATTGTTCAGCCTTCAGACTGTTACAGAATAACAGAATCCATCTTCCCGAACTTAAGAATATAAGCATCATATAAGTCTCAGGTGATAATGATTGAAACAAGGCAAAACATACAAGAGTTGCACTATAAACAGGCAGTTCAGCCATCCGGTAAAAGACGAAAAAATATCAGAAAATTTTAAAATAGATAAAAATAATGCCCCCGGGTATTGAGAAGAGATTCTTATGTCAAACTGTGCTCTATGGACTTATTATTGGTCAGACTCTATGGACTTTGATAAATGTGATTCAGTAGATGAAATATAAAGCAACTCCACGATCTTGCTTAAAGTATATCCAATCAAAGAATTACAATGACAGAAACAGCAAGGTAGCAGAGTGTGTGCAACCAATGGATTGGACAGGGGCTTCGGCCAAGGCAGATCTTTAGTTAAATTCCTAAAGATGTTGTAGGATAGAGAAAGAGAATAGAAACAAGAACTATTGTCCTATCTTGGATAATATTAATATAGTCCCACACCATATCAATCAACACCTGATCGGAGCAAAAGATCTTTACTAATATCTGAGCACCTGACTTCAACTTCTTACTAAAGCCAGGAGTTGACTTTCCCGTATGAGCATTTGGTAGATGTGTCAGCCCGTGAAATAGTCAAAGAATCCCAGACCAAATTGGTCAACAAAAAACCAGGAGAACTTAGGGTGATTTTAGACTTAACGCATGCATTTAAAGCCCAAGACTCCAAGAACAATAGCTCGAACAATGATATCGAGTTCCAACTTCGATTCAATCATATCGCATTCAAGTTGCAGTACCAAATCAGAAATTGCAGTCTAAGAATCAAAGAGGCACTAATCCCAGATCTAAGACCAACATAAAAGGAACTCAAGGAATAAAGATTCACCGCGGCTGCGAAGAAGGTCTTGTCCCCGATCTCGGAGAGCACTGTCATGGCCAGCGACTTAGTGAACCCCTGATCGGTCGCACAAGAAAAGGTTAAGCAATCATCATCAACTCTCATCTTCATACATATCAGGAAGCGCGTACCTCGATGAGAGACAACCCCATTTCCTTCGCCAGTGTCTTCGGAGCGGAGCTCGATTCGATTGGAAGACGAGAATTGATAATATACATATATATAGGAAGGGCGAATCGCGGCCAACGCAGCCGAAACTTGCCGAGCGGATGGTGTTCACGAATCGGCTCGGTGGTTGGGTCGTTTTTGCTGGCCCTTAAAAAATGAAAAAAGTAACAAAGTCCTTTTTTTAACTACGCCTCGACGCCTACACCATGGGATCCACGTGGGCAGTGTTGACTCATAGATCGCCACGCAGGGGTGTAAGCAACCTGCGGGTAGAACTAAAAGGTGCAGCTAAAATTAGCGAAGAAGTGGGAAATGATTTGTCGTATCAACATGATGTTATATTCCTCGAGTGTTGTCTCGGCTGTTTTGTCCTCCAATCGGTATAGACCACGTTGCACCTCATTCAAAATACTCCTTTACCCATTCATCGTCTACTCTATGACTACCTGCGATTTTATTGGTCTCCGAGTGGTCCCACAAGTGGTTCACCGATGAGCCTCACTCATGCCTCCGATCACGCCTTTACCTGCGACTTTTTGCACGCACCAACGTCGAGCAATTTTAATTTTTGAGAGTTGTTTCCAATTCAAGAGTTCTTTTCCAAGTATTTACCTCGCACGAAAAAGTTACAATAGGAGTTTTGAAGAAAATGTTCCACGTAAATGGTTAATTACGTACTTATTCATTAGCCGAATTTATTTGCAATAGTTTCCTAAAAAATATATATAATATGTATATATATAAATATGATAATTTTTTAAGACATGTGATGGAAGCTAAACAGTAAAGTGATCGAGGATTCCAATTCTATTATAAATATTTACTATGCATAGTTATAATATTTACATGTGCAAGGAGTATTAGTAGAAAGAGTGATTTGCTAGGAAATATTCACATTTTAGGCAATTTTCAATCGAGACATATATTTTCTTTTTTTTCTCAAATAGTTTTCCTAATTTAAAAATATATATATTATTTCTTTAAAAAAAATTCATCTATTATAATGTTTTGGCTTGTTACCATGTTTTTTATATGTCATAGTATTTTGGACACCACAACAAAAAAATACTATAAAACTTACTTAAAAACATTATAAATAAGTCAGATAGAATCAAAAGATATAAAAAATTACTTCATATATTATACTATAATTTAAATATATATTTATAATAATTTATGAATAATATCACTCAAATAAAAAAATATCTTATTATAGTATTTTGGCTATCATGATAAAAACATGTAAAATTAACTTCAAAATGGCGTAAATGATTCAAATGAAATCCTAATCTCATCCTAACTTATTATAAATTTAAAAAGTATAAAATCATAATGATCTACGAGCAATAACAACCAAAAAGACTTGATATAAAATTACTTATAGTGTTTTTTAATAGATATTTTTAGCACATCGATAAAAATACTATAAATTAAAAAAATAATATAAATAAGTCAAATGAAAATATAGTTTAAAACTGATTAAAAAAGGATAAAATTTTGACAGAATAATTTTTTGGGAGATATTTCATATTTTTTAATTAAGAATACTATTTAAAAAATAAAAGGATATGAATTGAAATGTATAAAAATATATTAGTATTTACTTTAAAAATCATCCAATTAAAAAGAAAAGTGGAGTCTCATGTGGGAAAAATCAAATCAAAAATCAATATTCAAAGGAAAGGGCAACTTTGGAAGCGGTGACCATGGATTTTTAGATGAATGGATGTGCTCCCCTCGAGCTTGAACGGCAAGGTCCATTTGCATTTTATCGTGTTATATTACAGTCATGCTACATGCCACGTGTCCTATGAGGAGAGACGAGTCACGTGTCGCTGAGTCCACTCGCTTGCGACGAGTGGAAGGGACAAGTCCACGCTTTCGCCGGTGATCTCACTAGAAAAAATACGTCTTTTTCTTATATTTTTAAATGTTTTATTACTTATATGACTTCAAGTAGAATAATGGCGAGCGTTGAGCTTTCTCTATCTAATATCTCGTGCGCGACAAAATGTTACGTATCGCACAAAATTCTCGAGTGCAGTACATATAATTGTAATATATATTTATCTTCTTTCACCAAATATGTAATGAAAATAACCTTAATTGCTGGAAAAAATTTATATGTATATATATTCGATTTCCTTGCCTATATATACATATAACTTTTATATTTTTAAAATATTAGTTAATTGTTTGGAGTGATAATAAGTATTATGGATGAAATTTTGAAAGAAGTATCGAAGTTTGAAAATTTTCTAGATAGTGTCTCGTCTTTAAAAAATTTTCGCAGAGTATTTTTTTAAATAACTATTTAGTTTTCAATGCTATTGCCTTTCACCTCCCTATGTTTGATCCATCTAATGATAAAGGCGTAATGACCCATGATGGATTAATAATAGAGGTGTGGCCTCCTTAACCAATGATAAAGATTGATAGCTCGCCTTCCTCTTTTCCTTGCTAGTGATAAACAATAAGGGCATGCTCCTTTTCTCACAAATAATCGACGGTGAGAAGAGGGTGCAAGGAGACTACATGATCATTCTACAATTAGCGATATATGGCCAACAATGAGGGGTATTGTAGGTGATGATGATGATTGTAAAGGCTGCACCTCTACCGTTCAATGAAGAGATCCACTCGAAGTAGGGGTGGTTGTGGATTAGATGAAGCAAGATTAAAATAATATTTTCACATTAATTAGAGTGTTGTGTGAGGATTTTTTTAAAGGTGAGATATTCTAAAAAAAATTCTCAACGACAGAGCTTTTTTTAAAATATAAATTCACCCTATTATTTAAGATTATTTAGCTGTAATATGTGTACTAAAAAGGCTTATTCTTGTTCCAAAAATGACAATGTGATGCACGTGATAACGAATCATCAAATTCGTTATGATTTGTTAGTGGAATCGGATTCAGCAGTATTTTCTCTTAATTAAATTCACATAATAATTAGCCTTGACATATTTGACTGAAAAAAATTCTATAAGTGCTTCTTGATCATTTTTATTATATAGATAATCAATTGAATTGCTTCTTTCGCTTGATAGAATGACTATTTTTAGCGAATACTGCATTATCTGGGTTAAGTCATGTCCAACTCATTTTCATGTTGTAATCAATCAAGCTGTCAAACAAAATAAAATATTCTAATCGAAAACTCATATACGTGTAATATATTGTTCATGGTTAGACTTGACGAAATAATAATATGTTGGAATCGATCTTGGTTTGAGTTTAATTTCAATGCAAGCTTGATGTTCGAAAATCTAAGCGGACAGTGTACTCAATAAAATCCATTTAATCCAAGCTAAACACCGAGTGCAAGTAAGTCCGACGGGTACAGGTCACGATATTATCACAGGTCCACTTCCTGTCCACGTTTCGGTGGAGAAGAAAGTTTGAAGTCAGTGGTGGAAAAAGGTCCAGTTGTGTTGAGGTGCTTCAGCCAAAAGAGCAACATTTTCCGCATACTCACAGGGCGATACCAACTACCAACTCGCCTTATGATTGGATAAATGGGGCCCACGAGCAATAGACATACGACGAAAGCGCCACCCGGTTCAGGTTTCGATGCATTTCGTCACCCGAGCGGGGTGAACGGTGGGTTAATCATTTTCCGGTGCCCAAAGCGAGACTCTCTAGAATTCAATGCAAATTCCACTGCTCCTGCGGAATATGCCGAAAGCTTAACACCAAAAGATTCCTTTTTCTGAATGCACTCTTGGTGTCATGTGCCCCCCAAATTCCCGTTCGGATGGGGAGCTCCAAACTGGCAGAGGAACGGCCCCTTCCCCATCTCTCCCCAGCCAAATCTCGTCTCTGCCTCAGACCGTGCCGATACTTGTTTGCATTGGTGGATCACGGCCGGTTTCAGTCAAGGTGATCATCGATCATTGTTTTCTCATCTCAGGATCCTGAGACCTTACTTTGAGCACAACTTGTTGCAGGACTCGGAGGAGGAATCAGGGTTTTCATCCTTGAAGAGCTCAAAGCCTGCTTATCGAGATCATCCTCTGGCCGGGTGCTTCTCTCATCTAAAGGTTCTCGCGTTCTATGTTCACTGTGGGTTGCATGCTCTCTTGCTTCTTTGTCTTCTAATTCTTGGCATTGGCACTGTTTGATTGCAGTCCGCACAAGACAGGCTGCCCTCATGGGTGTCAATGGACCTTCAAATACTTCTGGAATACTAGACGGGATTCATGGGGTGCGGCTGGTAGGAAGGTCAGCATTCGAAGTTGAAAAAGCACTTCACTGTGAGGGCGTCGATCGTTCAACTTGCAGAGGTGTGGATATTGCTGAGACGAGCCAAATATTGTTAATCCGGTGAGTTATATAACAAATACATCGATTAAATCCATATCCAGGTTATCTTGTCCGTATCATTCACCTAGCGAAAACCCTAACTATCGTGTATCGAAGAACAAAAAAGCAACTGACCGATTTATGTGTTGCCAGAAGGATATGGCAGCAGAGGCCTTCGTGCTTGAGGCCAATTCGTTGTACGCTTCACGGTATGTGTAGGATAGAGAGTTTCCCTGATAAACTCATATGTATGACTTATAACTTAAACTCAATGTTTCTCATTTAATTAGGTGATCGGAACATTACAGAATCTGTTGCCAATGTTTTAACTTCGTTGCCTTTTGTTGTTCTTGGATTGCAGGTGCCTAGGTAAGTTTATAAGAGAATAGCTCAACAAAAATATTTGCCGACCTACTTTTTCCTTCTTTCCTACAATATCTGAAAACTTGTAAATTAACTCTCCAGGAAGAACATAAACACTGCACTCTATGCTAATTCATTAATTGGAGTAGGGATTGCTTCAAGTCTATATCATTCCTCGAGAGGAGTACTCCGAAAGTATCTAAGATGGGCTGACTATACAATGATAGCTGCAACTACTCTTGTAAGTAATAGATACTTAACATCATGGTTGAAAATTAATGACTGACTTGTTTCTTTCTATATTGAACCTATTTATAAGGATCTAAATTAATGTGTATGTTCAATAACATGCTTATTGAAGTTAAATAACATGCCACTCAGGAGTTCGATGCTATTTTACAAAAAATTGAGTGGTCAACCCCATGTAGTACCTCAAGAGATGATGTGTTGCCTGCGCTCATAATTAGACATGTCAAGTATATCCCAATATACTTAAATATCTGCTTTCTTCTCCTTCCTTCCCTATTTCTTGCCCCTTGGTTCCTCCTTGTGCCTTCTTATTAATCCAACCATGCTCTGACACAAAGCCATTATTCTACTGTAGAACTATACTTTGTCTTCACAAAATGATGAGTAATCTGTGCTGAAAATGTTGTTAATGCTAACCCATCATTCATGTTGTAATGTGGCTTGAATTTTACAGTACCTGATGAATTATTTTCATATTTTCTTGTGATATGTATTATGTAGAATATCTCAACTACTTGTGATTGGGTTGAGTTCTTGAGGGGTTAAACTGATGTTGTAAGAATTTTATTGTACTTGCTCCATTGATAGGGAAGTTTCTTCTCTGGTCTCTCCCATGGCTGTGGGTCAGAAAGACATTTACCTATTACAGAGATGGTGCGACCATATGATTTGATTCATTTCATTTTTTTCTTTTAGTCTAGTCGTCCTCAGTATTACGAGAAAGAAAAGGGATGTGGTTCGGGATAAAAAGAACCAAAATTTTGAAATAAGGACATGCTTGGTGCAGGTGAAGTTTGGAGATAGAACAATTCCTTCTGTCTTTGTTAATTCACTTGTTCTTTGGTGTGGCTTTATATCTTTTATAATCTACTTGTTATAACAATTCATATTAAGACAAGATCATGCACTTGTTTTTTTGTTTTAAACTGAAGCAGATGTGAAACACCTGCTGGTTAAGATTTAGAAATGCTTCTGTAAGCATAATCCTGATATACTAGTAAATCCATGGTAGTGCATGCCAAAGCTCCAGTTATATTTACAAGTGGCTTTGTGAACATATCACATCTTGGATACAAAGATGTCCACTAGGTGTCTACTGATATGGTACTCCTATCTCTTTTGATGTGAGGAAAACATGTGAATTGGCAAAACTAAAGGAAAGCATGTGAATTGACAAAACTAAATTTTATGTCAATTTCTGAGATATTCTTTGGTTTATTAGTTTCTGGATTGTGTATGTGCTGTGTTACAGAGACAATTGGACCTAATCCATAACCTGCTTAAGTCATTCAAAGCCATTATCCAGTAAGCTTCAAAAGTTTGGACGTAGGAGCATTTCTAGAGCCTCAAGATAAATGTTCACAACTATTAGATTATTGGGACAGCAGATATCTTGTTTTATAAAAGGACTAGAGACGGAAACTAGCTTCGACGAGTCATAGTCACCAAAAGAATAGGGACCAGTAATCCTATTTTCAGAAAAAAAAGGCCCATATGAGAGAGAGAACCCAACAGTCCTACTTTTAGGCGTTGAGCACAAACCAGCCATCTGTACAGATGACTTTGAGGCTCCTTTTGGGCCAAGGTTTTGACCCTTAGAAAACTTGTTGTACCAGGAAATCTTAGGAGTCCTCTTTGGTTATTATTTTCAGCGACATTGTGTGATTTGATGGACTACCGTACAATTGTTTAGATTTCTAATTAAAATTGGAGATTTGGGCATATGTAGCCCCTACAAATCAAAACTCTTGAAGGCATGAAGACTCGTTGCATGGATTTTTGTGTTCTTTGTTGCACTGGATTTATTATTAGTTGATAATTACTTCTTTTTGTTTTTTTATCTTTAAAGGGATTTCTACTCAAACTGATTTAATCTGATAGAAGGTAAAATCTTTTTTGTTTGGTATCAGAGTAAAATTAACCTACATTGAAAATCACCATAACTTATCTTTTTTGGAAGATGCCTGCACCAAGGGCGCAAAGATTGAGCTCAGAGATCTCTTTAATTTGATTATGATTATTGTATTATGTTATATAAGTTATCTAGTGATTAGTAGTCGTATTGGCAGAACATTCTGGTGGGTTTTGAGGAGTAATGAGATTGCCAATAGGGAAAGCTTTTGCCCACATCTTTATTATGATTGTGCTATAATAAGGAATGGCATTTCAGATATCACATTGTATTCATGATATGTGCATGTGCATCAGGTGTGAAATCTACTAGTGAATATACAGTGGTTTTCATATGTGGTAACTGCTATTACTTCAACATGTATGTTTCATTACCTAATTCATTTATCTGTATATACACATATATATCCTTTTTAGCTTGAGAGTTTTTGCATGTAAATTAAAGAGAGTTTTACCTCATGGTTAGCCTACCTATTTCTTCTTAACTAATGCATGCTCATACATTATACTCAAGATTGCTTATTTTGTGATTTCATATGCTTTTTAGTCTATATACGTAAACAGCTTTTGGTCACTCTAGTGCTTGATTGTTTGTACTTTTTGATACTCTTTTATGCACTTTTCTTCTCTGTCTTGGTGACTTCTGAATTATTTAATTTTGGTAGTGTCTATCACGGTCACTCAGAAATGAGAACCCAAAACTTTTAATGGCGGCATCCACATTGCTTTTGCCAATTCAGCCATTGATGGTTTCAGCTGTTCACACTGGACTAATGGAGGCAAGTAACTAAAAGCTACTGTGATTAGCAACTTTGCATGGCAACTCAAATCTTTGTGTACATGTAAACCATATATTTGCTTTGTGTTGCCAATCTAATTACACATAATGAAGGTTTAAATATCTTTTGCTTGTATTCTTTTATCTTAACATTTCATTATTTGGATTAGATAAGCTCAGTTATAGGTGATGGACCCCCCTTGGAAATCAGCATTTAATTTAGCTATTAGACTAGGAAGTGTTGCTCCATCACATTTTGCATTTTAGATTAGGAAGTCTTGTATACTTTCCTTCATGGTTTAAGATTGTGTTTGCTGCTTGATTTCACCAGCTTGAAGTACAACCACAAAGTACATCTTTCTAATCGCTAATCTTTTAAGGTTTCTGCTTGTCACTTTATAAGTTATCTTGGTCAATTAATTGATACCATTTTGACATGTTTGATCTTGGAATGAGCGGTGGTCATAGGATTCTGCTGAAATTTCATGGACTCTTGTTAACTTTATATTGTGCAGCCAACTATTATACTGGAAAATTTTTGGATGATAATTATGATTAACCGTTAAAAATCTGCACCATTGGCTTGTATCTTTCTAAAATATGACTAGCCTTCTAGCTTAGTGGTTGCTGATATTCACATAGTGGATCCAAATTATGGTAATTTTTTACATATAGAGACCGAATGCTACAGGCTATTTTACAAAGTTGACTAAAATTCTTGTGGTACACAGTTTAAATAGTTGACCCATGTTAGCTTGATATATTGATTGTCTTGTTGCTTACTCTCAGGTAGCATTTGCCAAACAAGCATTGACAAGACCAAATCTGAGGATGGCACACAACCTACACAAAATGTCTTCCCTACTGGGAGCGGCACTTTTCATTGCTGATGATTGCTTTCCTCAAACGCCCTATCTTCATGCAGCTTGGCACCTTGCTGCAGCAGTTGGGGTTGGGACATGTAACAAGCTTCTTGAATGACTTACCTGCATCCTAGCAGCTGTTCTTCTCATTTATTTGATAATCAAGACAATCATGCAAGAGCCAATGACTTTTAATTCGTCGATATGAATTTATGTGACAATGTATCCAAAGTTTCTTTCAAAAGTGGAAAAGAAACTAGTTCGCTGCCTCAATCATCTGTCAATTGAGTTGGTCTCAGGAACAATTCTTATTTGTTTGATCTTCTCTTGAGAATTCCTCTTGGAATACTACAAAACAATCCTATTATTGGAAACGAAAGCTATATACATTTTTTCTCTTGCTTTTGTTCCAGACTGATTGCATGTGCCGTTGTGGTAAATTCTGTTGATAGAAGAGAGACAATTCTGGAGACCAATTAAATAAAAGGGGTTTGCGGCCATCTTGCATATATCATTATTGCATAACGTGATAGGCTTGGTGAACTCATAAATTTGGATCATGTATTGTCAAAGTTTCATCAGTTAAATTAGCTGACACTTTCAAGATATTATAATATTATATTATTACGAAAAATATCTTTTACTAATAATAATCAATAAGGTTCCCACATTATTTTATTTATAGCATAATTGGGAGGCCCTTCATTTAAAGGATCTCATAAAATTGATGTATGATAAAAACAGTGTTGTTGATTCGTTTAATTTCTTCATTAACTTTATTAGATTTCATGTTATTAAGTAATTTATTCGGCTAATTGTTTAATATTTTTATCGTCCGAACCTGACACCACGAGTGTGCTTACAAGACGGACCGGTCCGGTGCGGTCCGAGCCGAGCCGGGCCGGCTTAAAAGTCTACAGCCTCTAGTTTCCCATGTTGGGCTCAGCCTTAGGGTTGTGGCTTTGGCGGCTTTTAGAGGGGGAAGCCTCCGCCGATCGTTCAGCAGCTTTCTTCCATCCCGGCGAAGATCCCTGTGGAATTCCTCGATCCGCTGCGAATGGCGACGCTGAAGGACGTGGTAGCCCGGCGGCCCATTGCCGCCACCATCCGCCTCACGGTGCCAGCGGGCGGCGCCCGCCCCGCCCCGCCCGTCGGCCCCGCCCTCGGGCAGTACCGGCTCAACCTGATGGCCTTCTGCAAGGACTTTAATGCGCGCACCCAGAAGTACAAGCCCGACACCCCCATCGCCGTTACCATCACCGCCTACAAGGACAATACCTTCGAGTTCATTGTCAAGTCTCCCACCGTCGCCTGGTTCCTCAAGAAGGCCGCCGGCGTCGAATCCGGCAGCGGCCGCCCCGGTCACGTAGTCGCCTCTTCCATCACCGTCCGACATGTCTACGAGATCGCCAAGATCAAGCAGGCCGACCCCTCTTGCAAGCACCTTTCTGTCGAGGCCATCTGCAAGTCTATCATGGGCACTGCGCGTTCCATGGGCATACAGATCGTCAAAGATCTCTGATCAATACCGCCGCCCTCGTCCGCTGCCATGGTTAGCTTCTCCAAGGTTATTATGCGTTTTCTATTAGGTTTTTGGTTTGCCTAAAGAAGAAGTGACTGTATGTGCGTTGCCAAATTCGTCCAATCTTCTTGATGATAAATTAATGCTTCTTTCTCGATTGGCAGTCTCGTGTTTCCAAGTATCAGCCCTAATGAATTAAGTTTTAATTTCCATAATTCACACACTGTTTTTACTACCACGAAAGTTTTTGTTTGAATTCAGATGCATTTTTATCGTAGAGATGTGAATAGTAAAACAAGTTAAATTCTTCTGCCAGTAAAAGAATTGGTCGAAGAAAAACTGAATTAGACTTAATGATGAACCAGTGCAAACAACAAGACACAGTCTTAATGATGAACCAGATTGAACTTGGTCTTGGGAATTTGCAGGTTTAGACGCAAACTAATGAGCATCACATGATTTTTCCTGGTATAGTTTGCCTCAAGAAATCAAATTGTGAAATATTGAAATCTCTTACAATGTTTCTCAACTCAGACCTTAACTCAGTATTAATCTTATCAAGTATCTGAACTAAGATCAATCTTCAGCAATTTATCAACTAATTTGAAGAATGGCATCCACGAAGTGGTAGCCACTAATTTCTCTGTGATACAATGCAAAACTTTGATATAACTAAAGTTATTGTTTTGGCTGTATATTCTTCTTTGTGGTAGTATCTTTGAAGACTTGCTACGTCGAACTGTCCATAATAATTAGGTTTTCTAATCAGCAAGGAAAATAGGTCGTGGCAAATCATGTCAAACTTGGATTAGGAGCAACATCTTTACATTTTGAGTATTGTCACACTGTGAGCTTTTCCTATCTTTTTGTATTTATTATGCCGTCTATTAACCCTTCATGAGATGATGTATATGAGTTAGCTAACTGAATTGGGAAAAAGAAGATTATTGTCGGCCATCATGTGCTCCTTATGGAATTCTATGATATTGTCGCTAGTTTTTTTCTTTTTGTGTCAGTAGGCACAACAATTGATTGGCAACCTTGGCTAGAGAGGGCAGGTTCCTCGTAGATCATCAGAATGTTGTCAGATAATACTCAGCTCATGGCAGAGATGGTTGGCCAGCTTCAGTTTGAAAGTACACTTCCAGAGAGGTTCCTCACACCCTCTTCCTATTGCCATTTATGAAGTCCAATAATTTGTGCAACGGAGAAGATAACAGGCTATGATATACTTCATTAGGAGAGAAGTAGATTTCTTGCTATTCCAAGAGAGAGCAACTCCATTACACATTGTATTGTCAACCACAAAGCTGGAATGAAGGTGGGGATGGTGGTGAGGAACAAGTCTGTTCCAAGTTCTAGCTAAAATTTGTGTTAGGACAAGGGAAATTTAAGAGCATGGTGCTTCCATAAAACAAAAAGACATTGTAGATAACATTGGTGTGAACATCATGTTAGATGCTAACATGTACCGTTGATTACTTTCGCTTTTGATAAGTCTATTATCATTAACTTGGACTTAGCATTTTGAATTAGTGATCCGGATTCGATGAGTCAATGAGTGAAACTCTGTGTATACGCAAATTGCTCGATCTATCGCAGGTACACATATATTCTTTTCACTTTTTCAATCTTTCTTCCATCTTCATTGCAATTTTCATGGTTCTGACTTGAACGACACGCTGTGTAAGGAAGATTTGGCCACTTGTTTTGAGATTCAAAAGGTCAGCTGCCTCATGGGACTAGATTGAGGAGGATTGCTTGGACACTTGTTTTGAGATTCAAAAAGTCAGCCACCTCATGGGACAAGAAGAGTTTGAGGAGAATTGCTACTTGGACACTTGTTTTGAGATTCAAAAAGTCAGCCACCTCATGGGACAAGAAGAGTTTGAGGAGAATTGCTAACCATGTCGTGAAGCAATTTGACCTTATAGAACAAAACATAATATTTCGAAGGTGTTGACCATATATGATCGTACTAGATTTACATGTGATTCCCGCTTGGCAGGCTTCCTCCAATATCCAAATATCATTTTGACTATTGGAATCATCAACAGGTGTTATATGCATATGAACATAAATTTAGTGATGACAAAACATATTCGACTTCTGATAGTTACAATTATTAAATGTGATGTAACATGTTGGACAACAATATTCTATTTGAATTATATATGATTCATATGAAGAACCTTTTGGTCCTTTTAGATCTTTTCCAAGGGGTCATCAATTTTGTGAAAGGAACATCCACAAGTTTCTTGGTTGTTTCTATCTACCATCACAGGCATCAAATTTAATGCCCACTGAAGTAATTGATAGTTCTCAAACACATACGTAGGGAGTTCAATTTCATGGCTCATAGTTTAGCTTCCTCCTCTTTTGCTCCATGTGTAGCAGAGTCTTTTGTATCTGACGTTTAATTATATAGATATTTCTTTTTATTTCAAGAAAAAAAAACCCATAATAATGAATATATTTCTCTGATCAGGTTCACATTACATAAGGACTCACTCTTTTATGGTACATGAACTTAAACTTTTACAAAGTTAATTAGAGCCATTAAATTTTTTCCCCTGCTCTGAAAAAACTCAGAATCTACAGATATCAGTGATCTATATCTGATTACCGGGGACAGAATTATACAAAAAAGATTCTCATTAAGACTTGTACATCAACAATAATTTAGCATGTCATACCATCTTAATGAGATATTAGATTGCTATACTCTATTGCTCAAATATTATATCCCTCATCAAGGAATATTAGCTATTATCATGTCAATGTGACGAAGTTTTGCAAAAGAATTATTTTGTACTAGTAATAAGGGCTATTATATCAAAAAAAGAAAAAAAAGAACTAGGTGAGTGAAACTAGCTATATATATGCCTTCAAGCTTGGTATCCCCAACCATGAATCCATGCAAAACATTGGTCTTGAGGCCAGTTGAGTGTGTGGGATATGGGTACTAGTTCATCATTATGATTTAGCAATGAGATATGGGCAAATTTGGTTTGTTCATGATATAATCGTGAGGTTTTAATAAGTAAAATTCAGAAAGATAAAATATAATGATATCATTAGGAAAAAGAAAGTGTAACTGGCATTTGGTGCCATTTCAACCAGCTTTAGAGCATATGTCAACTACTCTGATATCAGTAAGCTAAACCAATTATGAACAAGATTGAGATGCATGCTAAAACTGTCATGCTTATATGCCAAGGTGAAGAACTTAGGTTTAACTCTTCTGAACAAACACCATTAAGTATCTAAGATAGGAGTCAATGCAAAGAACATTGGCAAATCAGTTGTTGATTTCAACATTATTTCATTAATAATTTCCCCACAAACAGTAGAAGTAGAAAAAAAAAAGAAGGTGACTTTCACTTGACAATGCATTTGTTGCTTATACTTTCTTTTTTTTCTAAGAATAATGGAGGGCATGATCCTCAATTTAAGGAATTGCTTGGGTCAATTACTTGGTTATCATCTCTTAACCATGAAGATCTTGTAACTTTTCTACATTGTTTGCTGCTAGAATTCAATACCTCCAATTTAATTAGCTACAATGAGAGAAAAAAAACCCATATAATGACTGAGCAACCAAATCTAGTTAGTATCTTTCGTATCACTAAAAAGAGTTTGACGAGCAGTGAACAACGACAAGGCAATCATGTAAGCCTCGACATGAAGCAAGAATCAATGCCGCAGTAAGGTTATAAACCTTCCTTTATTGCTACGCTTAGTGCGGGGAGGCAGACTCGAGCACCCAATGGTTGCTAACTCTGCTGCTGCTCTCCCCGTCCTTCCCAGCCAACGTCGCTCCGCTAATGGCTGCTGCAACTGTGACGGTGAGCTTTGGGTCTGCAGCAGTAGCACTAGATTTTTCTGCTGAATACTTCCCGTCCTCACTGTTCCAGACCCCCTTACTTGATAGCCAAGAACTTCCACTGACAATGGCGGAATTCGAGGAGGATACAGCCCATGGATTCATCGGTCCCAAGAGACCAAGTTGCTGTTGTCCATGGCCATTGCTGCTTGCTGCACCGAAGAAGCTGGCGAAGCTATTCGTGGTCGGTAGATGTGGAGAAGGGCTTGCTAGGAAAGGGCTCAAGTACGATAATGGCGGATGGTTAGGAATAGAAGATGAGGAATTTGTCTCGTTCAACAACGTGAAATTAGATGCTGCTGTTGCTGTGGAGGCTAGCGCAGTTGCTCCGACTGGTAGAGGATGGTTGTGCGTCCCTTCGTAGGTGGTGACAAGTATCGACATGTCCTCGAGGCATCGCTGCACCTGTTTGATACAAACATTAACGTGAACGAAGCTCGAGTTGATTGGCAGAGACATTGGAGATCGGCTTTGGTTCTGCAAGCTACCTGCTTTCGAACTGGGCATCCTGGTGCCACGGTGCATCGATAATAGGCTCGCGGGCATGGGTTCCCTTTTGCCACCTTTTGCCCGTATTTTCTCCATTGGCATCCATCATTCATCTACAGGTACTCTTTGCAAAGGAGAATTGATTAGCTCGAATGCATGAACGCAAAGAGGACCCAAAGAGAAGCATGTAAGACTTACGGTAGGGCCTTGGCATCTTGCTCTCACTGAGACCCTAGTCTTTCTGTTTGCTGGGTTGATGCTTTGACTCGTTGTCATGGACAATTGGCCAGTTTGGAGCTTGGCATCGAGTGGTTGACAGCTTCTCAGGCACTTACCTTTCTCCTCAAAGCTTGCATCTTCTCTTTCGTGTGGATCTGAATACGTTTGCAGGGTCAAAGATAAGCCCAACTCCTTGTCATCAGCCACCATCGATGGTTGTTCCTTGATCTCTTTGCTCTCACCGGGCTTCTTCCGCTCTAGCAACCTCTCTTCGCCAAGCGAATTCGAAACTTGACGCTCCTAAATGTACCAATTCATGTGAGTTGAATGATTGAATTTTTCTGCTGGATGGAAGAGAAAAGATTCAGGTAATAGAATGATTACTTTTGGATGTCGATCCTGTTGCTGCATGCCTGCAAATTGCATCTGCAACTCATGGTAGTCTTTCCAGGTGCGATCGATGACATTTCTTAACAGCTTGTTCTCTTCCTTCATTCGGTTCATCTCAGCTTGCAACATGCACAACTGCAACGACATCTTAGCAGAGATAACGGAAGGTAAGAACACAGTATGTTGTGCGAGCGAGCTAACCTCATCCTTCATGGGCTTCTCATGACTTTGATCTTTCTCCTCCTCCTGGTCCTCCTCATGATTGCTACTTTCCTGCTTGTCTTCACCTTCCTCTTCCTCCTTTCCTTCTTGTTGTTGATCACCATCTTCACGACCTACTTCTAGTGTTCTTTCCTCATCTTCTGCTGGCTCCAAGGAGAGATCTATATGCATTATCCTCTCCTCCCTCTTCTCCGACGACATGATCTTGTAGTTGATGTTCACCTTCCGATTCTTGCTCAGACTTCTGGTCTAAATGATCTTATCGAGGCAATGGAGTCAACGTCCAAAGCGATTAAAGGCTGAGAAGAGAGAGAGAGAGAGAGAGAGAGAGCTTTCACTTATGCCAACTAGTAAATAGAAATATGGGGAGTACACGAAACAATGATGGATCCAATCCTCAGCCAAGTGGGATATTTTTAAGAGCCTGCCTTGGTGGGTGCTACGGTCAACGCCATGGAATTTTGAGAGTTGACTTCCGTATCATCACCAAAACCAAACACAAACGAAAGGCTGCTATAGGTTACCATGAGACTAAGTTTCTCATGGATAGATACATCGTTGGATTTAACTTGAGCCTGACGTTATAATTCTCAGCAAATGGATTGTTTTCTGCACCACCTCAGGTTTGGATTCCACCTCCTCCAAGTCGTCTTAATTTTATGCATGCAATCGCATTTACTGCGATGATTAGTGTAAGGAGCCACCATCTTCAACCTTGGGATCGAGGTTTTGGTCAATGAATTCTCGTTTATCAACAACATCTTCTTGTCGTCGTACACAATACATATATCTGCTTTGAATTAATTGCTTAATCGAATTCTCTTGGTAGATGATTTGATCAAGAAATACTGCAAAAAGAACATACAAATCAATAACTTAAAAAAAAATCTTGGATTGTGAACAATGAAAACAACGTCACTTTTGGCATCTAATTCGTGCATCCAACTCAGGTAAAAAAAAAAAAACTCTTAAAAGAAATTATTGAGAAAAATAAATCATGATAAGATTATTATGATTATCTTAATATTTTAATAATATATTATTATGATTTTAAATCATAAAAATTATGATAATTTATTATTATTATTTATCAAATAATAAGGATCATGATTTGAACGTGATTTTTTATATTATGAAATAATTTAGATAAATATTTTATATTTATTATTGATTAAAAATTATATAATTATTATATTTTATAATATTTATTTATGTATATAAATTTATATCCACTATCAATAAAAAATTAAACTAGTCATTATTTAAT